GTTGTACATAATGACGGGATTTCTTGTTACATATTCATACATGCATGCAATATAACTATATAATTTGGCCAATACCATTCCCTAGTATTTTCCCCTTCCTCCTATCTTCAGGCTTCCTTGGCTTTTATGTGAGGCTATGTCCCAATTCTGTTACCTAGCTGGCCCCAGAAGGTATTTAAATTTGTATGACATTTAATAGAGCTTGAAATGACTATTTCTAAACACACTGAAATTTAAATTTCATTATAATAACTAGTAGTCCTATAAAACATTTTGATTGCAAAGACTTAACCCTAAAGCTTTTTGTTTTTATTCAGAAGGTTATGGTGGAGACAGGCTTGCTTTTTGTTGTTTGCTTGCTTTTTTAAGTTTCCATGGATCACTATGATGATAAACCAGGTTTAGAAATCACTATATTAAATAACTCATAAAATTCTTTCTAAAATGAAGGGTATAAGTCTTAAGATGACAGATTAATTGTACTGTCTCTTAAGCAATAGTTTGGGGAAGTGTGTTTAGCTAAATTTTTAGTAAAATATTTTTTTGGGGGGAGGTTCATCAGTAGTAGGAAGAGTGAAGAATAAAAAGAATAAAGACCAAGCATCTCTTTACCTTGTACTTTAGGCCTAGTGCCTCAGTAGGTCGTGCTCAACACCAAAGAAGGAAGATTTTTTTTTGAAACAATTATGAAGTAATTTATTATTTTTAAAATGTATTTTATCTCTGTCTCTCATAGATGAAAGTTTAAAAAGTAAAGATTTCTAAAAGACCTATTAAATGTAAGTAGACAAATGAGTTTTGGGAAGCATTACTTTTTAAGTCTTTATGAACGAGGTTGTACTATCCACTTGGAGAGGAAATAGTACAGAAAAATAGAGCCCCACACCAAATCATTCCCTCTCTCATTAGTACAATAGGCATATACCAACATAACTTTAGAGTCTGAATGAGTTCAGAGAGCTCAGTCCAATTTATTAAAATGAGGTTTTATGTAAGTCATCAGAGATTGCAGACTAGGTTATAACTGTTGAATGTTTAATACTGATTGTATTTATGGAAGATAATAATGCTTCTATGCTTATAAATATATAATAGCATAATGGAAGCCCTCCATTAAATGTTACTAGTCTCTATAGCACATATCTGGAATGTGCTTTGTCCCAGAATTCTATGATATGGTGGGAGGAGAGAAAGTGAAGAGGGGCATCAAAGAAGATACTTGAACACCTGGAACAAATGTCTTTTCCTCCACTTCCTTTGTATTTTGTAATGCTGCAACTCATCTCAGTTGTTTAACTATTATCTGAAAAGGGGACAGAAATTATCTGCTGAGGAAACTATTGAAAAAATCTAACTTATGGGCAATATTTTATCTCAAAGACTGATTTTCTTATTAACATTCTAGGTAATTTAGCAACTTGGATTTAAACTTCAGGACACCTAAAGTCATTAACCTTTTCCCTTTAAACACACACTATAAGATCACAAGTTCAAGGCCCGCCTCACCAACTAAGCAAGGCTCTAAAGCAACTTAGGGAAACCCTGTCTTAAAATAAAAAACAGCAGGAGATGTGGCTCAGTGATTAAGCACTCCTAGGTTCAATCCCATGTATCAA